TAGGTTTCGAACAATACTGTAATTTATTTATTTATTTACAAAGTTTATAAACATAATTATTATGTATATAAAAAAACAAAAAGGTACTAACAAAGGTTTTCGACCTTACTGTAATTTAGTTCAACCAAGTTGCACTCTTTTTCCTTTCTTTTTTATAATTAATAATGAAAATTTTAAAAGGCAACAAAGAGAATTTTTTGAGGTGCTTTTTGCTCTTTCCAGTAAAAAGATTTCTTTATTAAAAATATCTTCCATATGACGATTAAATCGATCAAGAAGTTTGAATTGCTTATTGTGCTGAGATGGGGGTAGTGCACTAATTTTTAACTATCACTATTTATGTTTAGTGATGAATTGAAAAATATAAGACTCACTCAATAATAGTGATATTTAAAATTTTTAACCTGATTTTTAACTAAAAATATTTAAAAAATAGTTAAAATATTTGTTTCTACAGCCTAGTGAAATAATTTTTTCTACACTAAATTATTAGTTCAAAAAAAATATTCCTGCACTATTTTTTTCAACAGAGAAATGTTTCAATCATTTGAAAGTTTAAGTTAATAGGTCAGTCTAGAAATGGTTTAACTCAACCAAAAACTTATTGGACGAACATTGTTAATGAGTAAAACGTTCATTATTTACAAAGTTTCCAAGCTATTGCCTAAAAAACATCCAGTAACCACATCATTTTGGCAACTGGCAACGCAGCTGAAGTGGCAATCGAGATACAAAATTGACCAATTAATTTATTTCTCCGAGGAGAGTTCACCATTCCGCTAAAGAAAAAATCGTTATACTTGAGCAGAAGAAGGCAAAAGTTTCGGAATTTAGATGTTTCAACCATTTCTTCTTTAAGCATGAGATGTTGTTGAGGCAACTGCATAGTCCATCATAGTGTCACTAACAAAATCTGTATTTTCCATTTTAACAGATATATCTTTTAAAAAATTGAATCATTTATCATCATATTCTTTAATTTTCATTAAAAAAAAAAAACAAGTTAGAGTACTATATTCGGCTATGCCGAATCATAAATACCCTCCACCAGCAAGCTACTTTTTATTAAAACCCATTTAACTATAAAATTTTTAGATAACTTGACAAAATTTTTGTTTCCGTAGTGAGGGTACTAACATTTATGCATATGTGGAACTAATTTTGATTAGGTTCATAAAATTTTATATTAATAGGTCTGTTGCAAATATTTTGATACAATAACTTATCTACACACAAACATACTCATGTCGAATTTTATCTGGATATAATCATTTAATAATGAATCAAGTGGTATTAATTGATTTTCAGAAGTAAAATTCCGTATAACGATTTATATATACAAAATACACATTTATGTCGAATTTTATCCCGATGACTTTGATTGTCAATGTGCGTTTAAGTAATTTTCGGAAATGATCCTTATATGGGAGTTGTGACCAATTATGGACCGATCAGCAAAAATTTCGTATAATGTTTTATATGCAAAAAAAAAATCAAATCGGATATTACTCCAATAGATTTATTAATTAATGATATATGTGCGATTAAGTGATTTTCGGAAGTGAACTTTATATAGGAGCTATGACCAATTACGGGCCTCTCCATAAAAATTTCGTAAATTCATATGTATGTACACAAAACATATTTGTGTCGAATTTTATGAAGATAGCTTTATTTGACAATGAAATATGTGAGTTTAAATGATTTTCGGAAGAGGGCCTTATATGGGAGCTATGACCAATAATGGACTGATCCGGGGAAAATTTGGTAGAATGATTTATATGTACACAAAACATATTCAAGTTGAATTTTATACCGATAGCTTTATTTATCAATGAAATATATGCGTTTAAGTGATTTTCGGAAGTGGACCTTATATGGGAACTATGACCAATTATGGTCCTATCCGAAAAAAATTTCGTAGAGTGATTCATATATAGACGAAATATATTTCTGTCGAATTTTACAAAAATTTTACACAAAAGCTTTATTTATCAATGAAATATGTGCGTTTAGGTGACTTTTGGAAGTGGATCTTATATGGGAGCTATGACCAATTGTGGACCGACTGAGATCTTCGTTGGTAGTATGATTTCTATTCATATTATATTTATATGTACAAAATTTTGTGCTGATACCGATATATTTGAGGGAGTTATTAACGATAAACTAATTTCCGGGAATATACACCTTTGTATGGGCGCTATGGGCTATGGGGGCTATGGGGCTATGAAATATTGGATCAATTGTTATGAGTTTGAACATACTTGATCCCTGGAACAAAAAAAATGTGTGACAAAATACATCGAATTATCTTTGGTAGTTTCTGAGAAAACTACTTAAGAACTGCGAAAAAACGTTATTTTTTCGAGGTAGTCTGAAATTTTTACTCATAAATGTTTAAGTCGTCAACCGATTTTACTGATTTTTAATACCAAACTGTACCGGATAATAAAGAATGTTTTGGGTGAATTTATATTGCTTAGTTTTATCGTGAGCGTGTTTTACACACACAGAATGTCATAAGGATCAAGAATATACATACAGTTAATCACAAAAGTAAGTATACAGAAATACTGACGATTGGTTTTATTTAAAAAAAGATATTATTTTTCCAAAAAACAAAAAAGTAACACATTTATTTATTAAAAACAGTTATGATAATTATTATTCACTACTTTTTTTCTTCATATTTTGATTCTTTGAGTTCTCATTTAAGCTGAAGCTAAAAAGGTGCAAAATTTACGTCACAAAAGTAAGTATACAGATCATTTCAGTATATATTTGGTTTAATGATATTAACAAAATTTATGAAAATTTTACTTGTATTAATATAATTACTTTTTAATAAAATATTTTTTACACAATAACTTGAAAAAAATCTACTTTTAGTTCCGAAATCTTGAAATTTGGGCCGATTGGCTCTGGAATTAATTAGTAGAACAGTTTTTTCTCATTTCTACGATTTTTTCCACTTTAGACCCCGGATTTTGGATCTGGTGGTCATTGAACCCTCCAAATGATGCATTGGAAATAGAATTTTTAACTTTTGAAAAGAGTTGTTATTCCGAAATTAATGTTATGTTTAAGTTAAAATTGATTTAACTAACTTTTTGAAATACTATTTATAACAACGTTAGAATCCTATAAAGCTTCCCTTTTTTTGCAACTTTGTTGGAAGATTCTAACGAGTAACCGCTAGCGGTGCTTAAATATTGTTTGCCACCAAATTTATGCTTGTTTCGTTTGACATTATAAATCACTTATGATTTGTCTACGACACAAGCACTACGTGCAATTACATTTACAAAACCATCTACTTCTACGAGGTAATATTTTGGTTTAAATAAAAAGAGATCTTCATCTCTAATAAATTCGAAATACACATTTGTTTTATTTTTATATAAAATCTTGGGAAACTTGTTGGAGCTGAACAGTTATATGCATGGATTTGGCCATTTTGAACACAGTACGTTCTTAAAAAACCGAAATTTAACTCCGATTTCTTAAGACTTACAACATAAACTTTGAAATTTGGATAATTCTATATATTTCCTTTAATATAAACAGGTTTTCCAAATACTCCGATTTCCAAAGCATACAATAATGCTACCAATCATAAATTGATATACTCGATACAATAACCATGTTTTATGGATCTGACATTTTATTTGTTCTAGCAACAAATTAATTGAGCCTGATTTAATATAAAAATCTTATTATTTTGGACAATAATCAATTTCAGAACCGATATGTAGTGTATGTTATTGACATGGTTACCATTTGACGATTATTGGTAGTATTTAGGAGTGTGTAACGGATGATTTGAACCAAAAAACTTGTTTTAATTAATGGACACTAGTACAAATATTATTAATATCGCATTTTAAGATATAAATTTAGGAAATCGCCGTTAAATATCGAATATGAACGCTATACTATGTTAAAAACGGCAATGTTCCGCAATGGATTGCAATTATTGTAAAGAAACAATTAATTTAAAAGTTAAAATATCATCTTCCAATGCATCATAATGAACAAACGAGGGATATTATTGAATACTCGATCCAAAACTCCGGGGGTTTAAATAGCCAGATGTTCTTAAATAGGAAAAAATGCTCTTATAAATATTATTCAGATCAATTATCAAAAATTTAAATTTTTCGGAACAAAAAGTGAATTTTTTTCCATGTTATAGTGTACAGAATATTTTATTATAAAATAATTACTATATTCTTTGATAATTACATTCAAACAGGTAAAATTTTCATGAATTTTGTTAATATCATTAAGTCAAATACATATTGAAATTATCTGTATACTTATAAGAATAAATAAGAACTCAAGTAATCAAAATAACCCGGAAAAAATTAGTGAATAATAATTATCATAATTGTTTTTAATAAATATATGTGTTACTTTTTTGATTTTTGAAAAAATAATATCCTTTTTTAAATAAAACCAATTGTCAGTATTTCTGTATACTTATTTTTGAGATTAACTGTATATACTTTATTGGGTCTCAGATTAATATTTCTTGGTGTTACACACGGAATGACAAAGTTATATATACCCTCTATCACCACTGACGATGGTGGAGGGTATAAAAATAGTGCAAAGAAAATTATTGAAACCTTTTGTTAGTGACTGTTGAAATTTTTAACTATTTGAGTGTAGTGGTTTTTTCTACACTACCACTCAATTGAGTTATAGCTAAAAAATAACATTATCACTAAAAAATATTAGTGCTAAAAATATAAGCTCCATTACCACTAAGCTCCTGAAAATTAGTGAAAAATATATTTTTTGAAATAATATTTAGTGCTAGTTAAATATTGATTTAACTAATAATTTAGTGCACTACCCCCATCTCTGTTATTGTGCCAAGAACTTAGTTCGTCACTGTACTTTTATTATATTTTTCTAAACTTCAAAATACTTTATATTTAAGGGGAGGTCGACAATTTAAAGAATAAACTCAAAGGAAGCAAAATCAAGAAATGAATATTGAATATTTTCAAGAAGGTCTCGACAGCCTCATGTATTGCGGCATAAAACTAAGTCCAGAGCAAAAAATTTTAATCGAGAATTCTCTAATAGTACTGCAAAATGAAAATCGTTATGCCGGCATTTATTTTTGGGGACGTATCAACGGTATCGCTAAAGATTATTATATAGCATTTGGATACACAAGAGATTGTCTAAGGGACCGTAAATATTTCTTTAGTATTGATGGCTACCAATGGCTAATGTTACCATTCGTACATAATCCAAAGACTTTTCAGGCGACAATGGTGTGTCGTGAACCATTTTCTGGAGATCCTAGTCTTATAACAACTGTTAAATTAGTAAATTGCATGTTTAATGTAAACAAACAATTAATTTAAGCCCTTTTTAATTTTAAAGGATCCCATATTTGACATTGATTCCAATCAAGTAATTTCTACCAGCCTACCGGAAGAAATTCCACTTAAAGAAGAGGAACGTCTTGCTGCAATTGTTTTTATCATCACTGAAGAATGTGCCATTTGTCCACGAGGATCTTTATACAAACTAACTGATGGCTGTGTTGTTCCCAACCAAATGTTTCGCGGCTTAAATGATTTACAATGTGAGGATCTTTCCTATTATCAAATTTATCGTTTACCAAGAAATGATCTCAAAATGAACCTATCTAAACGCTCCGATTACAATTATCCCATAGACTTTTTGGATTCTATTGCGTGTGTCATACCAAAAGGGCAGGCGTTTTCTTTAAATTTACAGCATAATGAACGTTTAGTCGTTATTAAATCTTGTATTTGGTTGGGTATGACATTCTTTCATAAAATTAACTCATCTAAGCATGGTTTTCTATATATTGGAGACGGCAAGAAAAATTACGACTTGTTGTTCATGTTTTAAATCAGAAATAATCGCAATACTACATTCACTACATTAAATATTCTCTGTACATTTTTATTTGTTTATATAATGTTTAATTATCAAAAAATAGTATCTTTAATCTCTTTGCACTAACCTTTTTCATAATTTTCCTTTTGATTGGGTCTACGACATGTTTCGTCGGTCTTTTCTTCACCTTGTTCCAGTTTTTGTCGTTTGGCAGACGGTTCTTCTCCAGCTTTTACTAAACCATTTGTATCACTCATATTCATTATTTCTGAAATACTTTTATCCAAATCGCTCTTCAATTTGTTGTCATCGTTATCCTCACATCTGGTTACTTCTGCACTGCCTACAACACTTAAATTACCTTCAACGGTTTCATCTAAACTTTCCACTTTTTTCAATGCCAATCCGGTGTAGTCTTGCAAAATTGTATGCTTATCCATACAGACGCTGCATATCATTTCACTACATGCATCTACAAGCTTATCGGCATTTGGGGGTGCATTTAAGTGATGCAAATGGAACCAGTCCTCGCAAACTACGCACTGCAACATTAGCTCATCTGTTGTACGTTCTGGATCAGGGTACGGGCGATGACATGTACAATACAACCCCTGAAAATTTTGATTATACAAATTACCAACGTTGGCCTTTTCGGGTTGTTTGCGTTCCGCATTTAAAGTGCAACGATTTACACCTGTACGCTCTGTCGGACAGTCGCAACGAAAGTTCCTCTTTGTGTATAATTCAACCAATTCATGATTCTCATGGCATTGATAAGAACAAGCCAAACAAATGCCAGCACATTTCTCCAAATCATTGCGAGCCTCTGGGCAACATGTCAGACAAGAATACAATGCCTGTCGTTTGACAGGTCCAAGAATATACGTACAACTTTTTTCGTCCGATGCTCCAAGTACGGCAGCATATTCCTCCTCCAACTCTTTTTCCTCTTCCAAAACATCTAACATAGTAACGCTAGATTCCTCCAAGGGATTGGTTGATACCTCGTCCACATTTTCTACTTTATCCACATTATTAACATTCTCCATTTTAACTGTTAAATACGATTTTAACTTCTTTTCAACACAAAAGACAAACAATTTATGAAAAACTGATGATGAATTTCTCTACTTGTTTAATTTTTTCTGTAATTTGTCTCCACTCGATACCAAACAATAATTTTGCAAAAACAACAAACCAACCCAAAGCAAGCAAAACAAAAAAGATGTTTGGCGCGAAAAGCAAACACAGGGTTGCAAAAAAGAGATTTTGAAAATATTTTACAAATTCTTTAGATTAAAAAAAAATCCCTTAAGCAAACGATAGCATGTTTTCCATAGAAATAATAGAAATAAAAATAATTTGAACAGGCAGAAAATTGCGATATAACACTAGAATTAAATTGTAGGGTAAAAAATTCTACTACTAAAATTTTAATAAATGTGTTACTACATTTTTAAGCATTTGTGATCGAATTTCATGGTAAAGGAGAAAACGAAAAAAAATGTTGCCACATTATTAAATTCAAAATTCCACTCAATAATAGGAGTTATAGATGCTCAAAAACTGGATTGTTAAAATGAATATCCCGTGAATTTATATTAATAATATTACTATAATAATAAAGGTAATGTTACTTTCAAATAATTTGATTTATTAACCCATTGGGTACAAAAAGAGAGTTTAAAAGTGTTAATAATTCCGATAAAGGCATACACTTTTACCACATATTGTATAGTGCATACAGTTTTCCCCGTGTCTATATTAGACAAATATTTATCACGATACTTGGCAAAACGTCGGCAGAAAAATTGTCAGTTTTTTGTTTATGTTAATGCATAGGGGTAACAAAATGCAGATTTTATCACGACAACTCACAGATAATTTTGTTCAAATAATGATATATTTTATAAAAATAATTAAAACTAAATGCAAAGTTTTTAAATAAACACTAATCTCACTAAAACTTATGTTAAAAATCAATTTTAATTGCACAAAAACTAAATTCTAAACAAATTTTACAATAAAATGACGTTTGTTATCAAGACAACGTTGTCTAAACAATTGTTTAGACAACACTGTCATAACGATGTTATAACGCTAACAAATGCCGTCTGTACCTGCTAATTTTTTATAATGATAACAATTTGACGTTTAGCATAATAAATATCTGTCTAATATAGACATAAACAATAAAAATATGTAACAAAATCAATACAGTTAAACTCGTTAATAACGAATTCCCAGTTATTACAAACTGTTTTTCTAGGGCGACTGAAGGGGGATAGGGTCAAATGAGGCCCGATCTTTATGAAATTTGGCAAGGTCATCAAGGCTTATATAAGACTTAGTCGTGCCGCTTTTTATCGATATATAGGTATATTTAACATAATTATGAGCTAAGAAACCCTTTTCGGGGTGTTCTGTTGTATGGGGGCTACAAAGTATCTCAACCATTTTCAATATGCTAAAAAAGCGTGTGTGCCAAATTTCACCCAATTATCTCGAAAATTGCGACCTGTACCTTGCGCACAAAGTTTTCATGGACAACCAGCCAGCGAGACGGACGGACGGACATAGCTTAATCAACTCAGAAAACGATTCTAAGCCGATCGATAAAGTGGTGTAGAGTATAATTAAATTTGTATGTGAAAGCCATTATTTGATGCGCAATAAAATAGCTGAGCAGTGGTGCGGTGAGTAGAAAATTTGACTAAAGGCCCAAATAGACTATACAAACGGCTTGACAAACATACCAATATTTTACGTTTGTGCAAGCCTGTTGTGTAGTGTATGAGGGTGTTTCGTGTTTGTACAAATGCTTGCTGTTTGTTTGTACGAAAATTAAAAAATTTTGATTTTTACACAAACATACTGAATTTTTGTCAAACCATTTGTATGGTTTATACTCATTAATAACAAATTTTTAAAAAAATTTACATTTCTAAGAAAAATTGAGGTCTGTAGCTTTGAAAGTCCACAAAAACGTGAAAAAATCGGTGTTTGTACGAGCAATGTTTGTGTAGTGTGTCTGCGAATGAAAAAAGTATGTTTGATAAGCCGCTTGTGTAGTCTATTTGGGCCTTAACAAACGGAAGGCCCTGGTTCGTATTCTCGCTCGCTATTTTTATTATTAAAAAAAACAAAACAACTTACTAATCAACTTCTTTGTAAGAGAAATGTCAAGTACTTGTTGAAATAATGAGTAAAAATGCTAATGAAGAAGTAGTGAAAAGAGGTTTTATTAGCTATTTAACTCATTACTTTTGTAAGTTTTTCTGGACATATGTACATATATCATGTTTTCTGTTGATTTTTTGAACAAGATTACTATACTATAGTGTAAATGTGGTATCAGATTATGGTATAAATACTTAAATGAAAGACTATGTGTTGAAAAATTTCTGGAAATCGTCTAGATCAGTAAGTCATGTCTTCGCCAAAACACATTGTGTTTCACAGTTTTCAACTTTTTCTACTGCACTGTTGAAAATAATACAACTATTCATTCCAAAATACAACACTGCAAACATAACTGATGCAACAACTCTGTTTTAAGGTTTAGTATTGCCAGAGGACAATTTATTGTACCTTTTATGGATTTCAAAACAAAATATGATTTAGTTTTTTTAATAAAATTTATTATTAAACAAAAATATATATTGTAAATATTTAAAGACTTTTATGTTGTTTAATAAAAACAATATTAAGTTTTCATCTAAAAATATGGAGAGAGAAAAATCTATGTATGACTAGATGGCGATTTTCTATTCAGAGTATCTGGCAACTCTGACCATACGGCAATAAAGTCAAATTATTTACTGAGCATTTCAGCATTTTTATTAAAAAAATTTACTAATATTTTTAAAATTCAAGTAGAAATAATTCAAAATGAATGCTCCTCCAACATTTGAGTCATTCTTACTTTACGAAGGTGAAAAGAAGTGAGTACAATAATCAAACTTTGAGTAATTCGTGATATACATAAATATTTCTATTGTGTTTTGCCTCTAGAATTATTAAAGAATTGGACACAAAAGTGACAAATGCCGCCATATTTACAGTCAATAAAGAAGATCACACTTTGGGAAACTTAATTAGAAAGTGAGTTCAGTTTTATATTCCTCTAGAAAGCTGTTAAACATCATTAAAATGCATTTATGTTTTGTAGTCAATTGTTAAAGGATCCCAATGTTTTGTTTGCCGGCTACAAAGTACCTCATCCTTTGGAACATAAATTTGTTATACGTATTCAAACTACGGCCGATTATTCGCCTCATGAAGCGTTTATGAATGCAATCACTGATCTTTTAGCTGAACTTTCTCTATTTGAGGAAAGATTTAAGGTAAATTGGAAGTTATAATTTTCTGGTAATTTATTGAAAATCCAAATAATTTTATTACTTTCAGGATGCTATAAAGGAAAAGAAAGAGGGTGGCGATTAAAAATATGCATAACACTATACAACTAAACTAATTTTAAGATAATTGTACTATTATTTTTTCGGCAGAATACATTTTTTTTAAATTATATCTACATACTTTCATTTGTCCTGGATGCGTCAGTTCGATTTCTTTAATCGAGCCAATTATGGCTAGTTTATCTGCTATAAATCTGTTGTCAATAATCCCGACTATTATTAGCATTATCCTACCATTTTCCTTTATATCATTAAAAGATTAATCTAGATGTCAAAAATTCCATTTCAGTGAAGAATTAATATATCATACTGTTTGAAGCCATTAGAGAATATTTCTGTTCAGTTTTCAAGGATTACTTTAACTATGTGTCTTTTTTTCTGGATTCTTATGCCGATTTGTGTACCATACAGAAATGTATTCGAATATTTAATTAGGATTTTAAAAAGGGTCACTTTTTTCCCAGATAGAATTGCTCCAATGTTGGTGTATGTAGCATTGTGGGTTCTTTTAAATAAGTGTCCTGGAAATACGGTCTGGGGATCAAAGGAGATTTCCTTAATCCTTGTAATCAAGCTACAGGTCGTAATTTTGAAGATAATTTGATGAAACTTTGACGCAAGGACGAAGCCTATTGAAAATGATTTTAAAATCGGTTCATTATTTCATCTAGCCCCCATAGGGCTTTTGAGCTCATAATTATGTTAAACATATTGTATCTCTGTAAAAATCGGCTTACCTTAAATAATACTGCCGATTTTCGTAATGATCAGGTTGACCCTATCCCCCAATCAAAGTCTCATTCAAAAAATAACTTAATGGTCAATAATAATGAAGTTGTTATGAAGTAGGGTATAATATAGTCGGTCATACCCGACCATACATTTTTACTTGTTTTAATTAATAAATAATTGTTCATACACAAAAAAACTAATAAAAAATAAAATATTGACGTAGTTGGCTTCCACTTGGTCCAGTTTTGTCGTCCAGCAGTTATAAATAAATATCCCTAAAAGCCGTTATGTAACTACATACTGTCGGTTTTTATCGGATACAGCTTACAAATTCTTTAAAATTTTAATTGAAATAAACCTAGTGTTAAGATGTATCAAATTGTTGAAGGAAAATCTTAAATTCTGTTCATTTTTGACATTTTATTCTAGGACGTGTAAATTCGGTATCATTGAGTAAAAATATGTGGCCTAACAAGATCTTGATAAAAACTTGATGACTATGGAGCACCGAAGGCAAAATATGGGTCATCGGACAATTTTAAATAGTCATTACGAGACAAGAGTCCTATGTTTGGCTGATATTTGTAACGCATAAAAATATTGGTCCTATACCGATCGACTCAAAATCACTTTCTGATTCGGTTAAGACATGTTCGGCTGCCTATGTAAGCCTTGTGCGCAAGGTACAGGCCACAGTTTTCAAGATATTTTGATGGAATTTGTGTCATGCCTGTTATTCGACCCAAGGACGAACCCTATTGATTGAAATCGGTCCATTATTTGACCTAGCTCCCATACAAAGTCATAATTACGAAAAATAGTATGCTTATATAAAACTTAGTACAACTAAGTTTTATATAAGCACTAGCTATACCCAGTGTGCTTTGCTACACTAAAAGCAAAAAAAAACCCCACTTACACATGGGAAATGCCACTCAAATTATTGCAAGTTCGCAATTTTTCCGAATTTAATTAATATGTGAGGGGCCAATCCCCCCATTGAATGTCCGCCAATTTTTCTCTAAATGTTCACATGAATGTCAAAGTTCTTTATGTAAAATTTGA